GATGATCTGCTCTACGCATTCACTCAGTTCACAATGAAAAGTTAAAAAAAATCAAAAAGCAAAGTAGTGTGCAGAAGTTGTGTATATTAGCTCACACCAGTTGTGTGCCTCTCTTCCCACTCACCATTGGAGTCTCCAGGTAGTAGTCTGACATGTTGGCAATGGTGGGAGTATTTACACTGCAAAAATGAACACATGCTACAAACAGAGCTTTTTTTTCCCCTCTTTTCTTTTTGGAGAGCTGGTTTACCATTCAGGGGTCCACAAGAGCAAAACCATTTCATAGTAATACTGAGACATAATTGCCCTTTTTAACGATAATTCTCTCAAAGGTATACAGGACTGATCTAGAAACTACATGATTTTGCAAGAGATTCAATACAGTAGATAAAGAAATTTAGCTGTCTTGTATTAAGCCTGACATTAAAGACGTTTGTAAAAATGTAAACAAGGCCACTGTTGCCACTGCTTTTAAAATAGTTTTCATTAAAAAATGTTGATACTAACTTGTAGTGAACCTGTTTTTGAAATTAGTATTTTTTAGTTTTCCATTTTAATATCTAGCACAGTAAATATCGATGATATAACTCATATAAGCAAAAGTTACTAGGGTCTTTGGTTGGGGGATGATGCATAGACGGGATGGTAACTATGGCAATGAAATGATGTATGACAGAATGAATGTAAAACTAATGTTTCCCCATGCAAACTATCACACAATACACAATAAAACATTTATTAAAAAAAAAAAGTTACTTTACTAGGGTCCCCACTAAATAAGAACATATGGAGTGTTCTGAGACTAACAGGTTTGTCTATTCCTTGCTTTTTTTTTTTTTACTTCATGTATTTGGGAATTTCTATATCAGAACTCATTTTAGTGAGTTCTTCAGAAGCAGATACTGAAGTAAGTTTTGGACGTGAGTAGTTTCTTTGGGAAAAGACCACTGCAGGGGAAGTCAGACAGAAGATCTAAGTGGCTACTAGGGAGTGGACACTAGTGGGTTTCCTGGTGTGGCACTTTAGGATCAGCAGTGGACTGCAAACCACATGGTCAGGGGTTCAAACCCATTAGCTGCTCCTCGGAAAGCCTATACTGGGGGTCACCATGAAACGAAACTGACTCGATGGCACTTAACAACAAGAAGTCAAGGGAGACAGTACCCAGGAGTGCACACAGTATTGTGGGTACTAAGAAAGGTGTATGATAGTAAATCTATTTAATCCTGATAATCTTATGAGGTAGAAATGTGTATTATGCCTGCATTGCAAGTGAGGAAACTGAGGCATGGTTGTAGAGCAGAAAGCGACTGTTAGCAACCATTGCCTGGTACCCTCGTTTTATAGGTTTTGTTGTGGTTGCTAAGTGCCATTTAGCCAGTTCCAAGGAGCATCTGGCGGGTTTGAACTGCCTACCTTTCAGTTAGCAATCCAGTGCTTATCCTACAGTGCCACACCAGTTTTGGGACCCAAAATTCAGTAAGGTTAGGG